GGTCTCACTATATTATCAAGGCTGGAGTGCAGTGGCTATTCACAGGCGCATTCCCACTACTGATCGTCACAGGAGTTTTGACCTGCTCCATTCCGTTTCGTACTTGGGTCGGTTCACCCCTCTTTAGGCAACCTGGTGGTCACCCACTTCCAAGAGGTCACCATATTGATGCCAGACTTAGTGCGGACCCCTGATCAGCGTAGTACACTACAGCCCAGAACTCCTGGGCTCAAGTAATCCTCCCACCTCTGCCTCCCAAGTAGGGGACTACAGGCGTGCACCACCGCGCCCATCAAGCCTGGGCATTTTTTAAGCTCTCTGGTTCCTTGTGTTCTTTGTTAGGAATTGCTCTCATTATTCTTGATGATGTTAGTTATTCATAAAATGTGAATAACTTGAACATGCAGAAATTACATACTTTTAACAGTTGGGTATGTTGTGCTTATCTGCTTGGTATCTTCCCCCTTAACACCACAAAGCTCCATAGGCAGTGACAATTAAAAATGGATAGGTGGAGATCAATTTCCTGAGCATGCTAGAGATGGAGCATATGATAGTCAAATGATTGGGCTTCGCATATCTGTTATCTCCTGCTTCCACTCCTCTTCACATTTAATGCATGGCAGTTTGGGAATATGAGTTGAATGGGAGATTTAGGTTTGCCTGTTTTATCCTCCAGTATTCTTAGTTGAAATTTAGTATGTATCATAAGTCCGTACTTTTTTAAGCCCATGAAACATGAAAAGTTATTTTTACCCATCAAAACATTTGGAAATGGATGGGTTCTTCCCTCTTTCTTCTCCCAAAACTTCAGGCCACTAGCATAATTATACTGCACATGCCATGTGCAATGTAATAGGTAATGTAGAAGACTGTTTTCTTTTTTTGTTTGTTTTTTTAATGAGACAGGAGTCTCTGTTGCCCAGGCTGGTTGGAGTGCAGTGGCGCCATCTCAGCGCACTACAACCTCTGCCTCCCAGGTTGAAGCAATTCTACTGCCTCAGCCTCCTGAGCAGCTGCAATTACAGGCACCCACTCCCATGCCCAGCTAATTTTTGTATTTTTTTTTTTTAGTAGAGATGAGGTTTCATCATGTTGATCAGGCTGGTCTCAATCCCCTGACTTCATGATCTAGCTACCTCAGCATCCCTAAAATTACTAACTTCATCACACCTAGTTCGGTAAAGATTTTTTTGGACCAGAGCATGAAGTTGGCAAGCCTGTTGCTGGTGCAGGGTGATCTTACTTTCACATCTATTAATTGATACTCATTTTCTTTTTTTACAGCAACTCTAAAAAATCCATAGAAAGTCATCTCACCCTTATGTTATATCAGGGGTCAGCAACCTTTCCCCCTAAAGTGTCATATAGTAATTATTTTCTGCTTTGTGGGCCACAGGTCTTGTCTCTACATCCCTGCTCGTCTAAACGGATGAGCGTGGATGTGTTCCAATGATATTTCATTTGTGGGTCCCAAAATTCAAATGATGTATAATTTAGTTTGAAATATTTTTCCAACCATTTAAAAATGTAAAAATGTTTTTAGTTTGCAAACCATGCAAAAGACTGGATTTAGCTTTTGGTTTACCAGCCCACTCTATACCATTTCCCAATTTGAGCAGCCAGCAAAAATTGAAAATGTCTAATGCTTCGGAATCACAAATTTTGTCTTAAAACATGGCATTGGAAGTCCCAACCCTAGACATGATATGACATACTTACTAATTTGGGGCGGGAATTGGCAATTTGCAATTGTTCAGCTGTTTCAATTATTCTGTTACAGTGTGGTTTACTTAACTTGGAGGTAAAATAGCAGATTTCTCTCAAGACTGTCGAGCCTGGGTGCAGTGGCTAACAACTGTAATTCTGGCACTTTGGGAGTCCAGGGCTGGAGGATTACATGAGACCAGGAATTCAAGACCAGCCTAGCCAACAAAGCGAGAGACCCCTTCTCCATTTTTTTTTTTTTTTTTTTTTTAAGTGTTTTAAGTTAGCTGGGTATGGTGGTGCATGCCTGTAGTCCCAGCTACTGGGTGGGTGGGGAGAGGGAGCTGAGGCATAGGATCTCGTGACCAGGAGTTGAAATCTTCACGCATCACTGCACTCCAGTCTGGGCAACAAAGCAAGACCCTGCTTCGGGGGTGTGGAGAAATAAAATGTAGGGAAGGAGGAAATGATTAGTATCTGCAGTACAGAGGACTTTTTATTTCCCCAGGTGTCTATTAAAATGGATCTGGATAATGGGGATGAATCATGTTTAATTGAATCTCATTTTTTATCTTTTTTTTAACAGTGCTGACAATACTTGGGAACCTGAAGAAAATTTAGATTGTCCAGAGTTGATTGAAGCATTTCTTAATTCTCAAAAAGCTGGCAAAGAAAAAGATGGTACAAAAAGAAAATCTTTGTCTGACAGTGAATCTGATGACAGCAAATCAAAGAAGAAAAGAGATGCTGTAAGTATACAATATTGCCCAGCAGCTTGTCCTTTTGTAAAAGGTTGATGGCTTGATTGATTGATTTTGTTGCCCAGGCTGGAGTGCAGTGGCACAGTCTTGGCTCACTGCAGCCTCCCCCCACAGTGCAAACTCCTGACCTCAGGTGATCCACCAGCCTCGGAAAGTGCTGGGATTCTAGGCGTGAGCCACTGTGCCGGTCTGATGGTTTGATTTTTAAAATCTCAGGCCGGGCACAGTGGCTCAAGCCTGTAATCCCAACACTTTGGGAGGCCAAGGTGGGTGGATCACAAGGTCAGGAGTTCAAGACCAGCCTGACCAACGTGGTGAAACTTCATCTCTACTAAAAATACAAAAATTAGCCAGGCGTGGTGGCACATGCCTGTAATCCCAGCTACTCAGGAGGCTGAGGCAGGAGAATCGCTTGAACCTGGCAGGTGGTGGTTGCAGGGAGCTAAGATCATGCCACTGGGCGACAGAGAGACTGCAGGGCAAGATTCCATCAAAAAAAAAAAAAAAAAAAACCTCAAATACTTTTCTAAAAGGCCTCTTAATTGTACTTTAAATATTTTAATACTTAGGACAATAAGGATAGGTGTGGTTTAGTCTACATTGTGTAAATGTGCAGTAAGTGCTTATGCCACTTAGGCAATTTTTCTTAGTTTCATGGAGTTGATCCCTGATCCATCCCATTACCTGTGATTAAGGCTAGGAATCTTTAGTACAAACAATACTAATATTGGATTATTGAAAGCCTTTGCATTACAGTAAGAACAATGCAAATAGAACTTTCTGATTACAGTTCATTAATGGCATCAACTGTCAAAAAGTACTAGCATGTCATCTTTGTATTGCCAAACAATGCACTGATTTTGAAGTATATAATCTTCGATAATAAAAACTTATTACATTCTTGGCATGAATTGAGTTATTTAGTTCCTTCAGTATACGTATGCTTTGGTCCAAACTTTGCTTCACTTATATCTCTGTGGCTTCAGGAAGTCAGGTAACTTCTTGCTTCCACCCTTGACTGTAAAAGTAGATTATTCTTGTCTTGCCTGCTGATCTAGTATGGCAATTCGGGGAGACATCTTGGTGCTGAATTAGATTCTAGGCTCTGACACTGAACAGACAATACATATTAATTGGTAAGGACTTGGGATTTGAAACTTGATCATTTGAACTAGAAGCCAAGAATTCCAACCTTCATGACAACTCATTGTATAAGGTCATAGGTATAGTCACTATTTTACGGATGAAGAAACGAAATTGACTACATAATTTGGTTCTGAAAGTAAATCCCATGCTCAACAGAAGCACGGTTTTGGCCAGGCACAGTGGCTTGCACCTGTAATCCCAGCACTTCGGGAAACCAAAGCAGGAACATCGCTTGAGCCCAGGAGTTGGAGGCCAGTTTGGGCAACGTAGTAAGACCCCATCTCTACAAAGAAAAAAAATATATCAGTCAGACGTGGTGGATGCCTAGTATTCTTAGCTACTTGGAAGGCTGTGGCAGAAGTGTTGCTTGAGCCTGGGAGATCAAGGTGTAGTGAGCTGTGATCATGCCAGTGCACTTTGGCCTGGGCAACAGAGCAAAACCTGTTTCAAAAAATTATTAGATAATCAAGCACAACTTTAACAGTACTTTTTGAGCTGTTACCATTTGCCATACTGTGTTCCAAATCATTTGCATTTCATGTGCTGTGAAATACCTATGTAGTAGATACTAAAGTTCTACTTTATTAGCCTTACCACAAAGAGGTTAATTAACTTGCCCAAAGCCACACAGCTCATGAGCAGGGTAGGCCCGTCATTCTAACCCAGGCACTGTGACTCCAGAGCCTGTCACATTGATATAAAACTCTGATAGCGGTGGGGCGTGGTAGCTCACACCTGAAATCCCAGCACTTTGGGAGGCCAAGGCGTGCAGATCATCTGAGGTTGGGAGTTCGACATCAGCCTGACAAACATGGAGAAACCCTGTCTCTATTAAAAATAAAAATTGGCGCATACCTGTAATCCCAGCTACTTGGGAGGCTGAGGTAGGACAATCACTTGAACCTGGGAGGCGGAGGTTGTGGTGAGCCAAGATGGCGCCATTGCACTCCAACCTGGGCAACAAGAGTGAAACTCCATCTAAAAAAAAAAAAAAATGATAGGAATAAAGTATTTATTAGTATCAGTTCTCAAACTTTTTGGTCTCAAGGCCTCATTATATGCTAGAAAATTATTGGGGATCCAGAGAGTTGTTTTTTTTTTTTTTTT